AACAGTTGATTTGGTTATCTACAGAACCTGCTTTTGTCTTTTATAGTATTGGATGGAAACTACAGCTATTTAAAAATATTAGAGTCATCAAAAGTCAACTAGGTTTTCTTAACTACATATTTTTATACTTTGGGGCACTGGAAATATAAAGAAACATGTAGAGGTAAAACTACAGTTACCTGTATTCTGCTACCCAGAATCATTATTGACATTTTGTCACATATGCTTCCAGACTCTTTTTCTGCATATACTTTGCTTTTTAATTGCAAGAATAAGTTTATGAATCTAATTTCAATAAAAGAAATGGGTTTTATGGCAAACATATTGGAACATGGCTTTCCCAGAAAGGCTTAACATTATCAAATAATGAGAATGGAAAAGTTTTCTATACAGTTATTCATCCTTTATTTTTAGGAAAAGATTACTCCTATCTCTACCTTATTCCTTTATAATATATTCTTTATGGTATTTTTCATAGGATATAACAAAGGAATGTACTTAATGTTTTAATGAGTGAAGAACTTCATTCTCAAAGAAATGAGCAATCCAGTTTTTTTTTAGTTTTCAGGAGTATTCTCTAGATTCTCTTGGCATAGTCTATCCTAAAAATCAGTAATTCTTTTGAAAGCAAAACAAATTTTTAAAGTTCTACCTAATATGATTTACTATAAACTTTTCTCTGGTCATCGGTAAATATGAAACATGAGTAGAATATATACACTTTATGATTATTGCCAATGTCATCATTTTATGTTAAATTTCTTTTTGTATGTTTTCCCTTAGTTACCTTAATATGCTTTCTTATTTCGTTATGCCTTCCATTTTCAAAAATTTTAATGTCTGTTTCAGAAAGTTCCTTACCAGTCTGCCAAATCCATTACAGAAGGAAGCATATACTCCCCTAATATCCTCAAGCTTTTTGCAAACTTATGAATTATTTAAGTTTTAGGTTTACATTTAGGCTAAGTAGCTAGCTTACTTCATATTGTATTCAGTAATTTATTCAGTGTTTATTGAGCATGTATATTGGGTGCATGAGAAAAAGGCAAGCAAGGAAACAACCCCATATCCCCAAGTTGCTTTAGAGGCTAGAAAAGAAACAGACATCATTCAAAGAATCACACAAATGTCTAATCACACCTGAGACACGTCTTATGAAAGAGAGATTCATGGTGCTGTACGGGGGTGGGGGGTGGGGGTGGGGAATGGGGGACAGGGAATGGACTTAGTTGAGAAAGTTGAGGAATGCTTCCCTGAGAAATTGATGACTGATCTAAAGGTAGAGTTAACTGTTACTGGCAGAGAGTGTGATGCATGGTAGATGGTTAAGTAGGAAAGATAGTCCAGCCCGGGGGAACTGAATTTCTGTGCACTAAAAATAATCACTGGGGCGCCTGGGTGGTTCAATCGGTTAAGCATCTGACTCTTGATCTCAGCTCAGGTCTTGATCTCAGAGTCATGAGTTCAAGCCTCACACTGGGTGTGGAGCCTACTTAAAAAAAAAAAGAAAAAAAAAAATCACTGAGTCACTAAATGTTAAACCCCTTTTGGATGACTAAACAGAGAGGTTAAATAATTTGCCCAAAACTCACACAGCGAGTTAATGAAGTTAAGGGCCTGTCCTCAAATGTCTTCATTCCTCATCCAATATTTTGTCTACTATGCAAAGCTGCCTCCCCCTCTAACATTGTTTCTTAAATGCTTTGCTTTTTTGCATCGAGGGAAGTGTGCCAGGAATGATTCACCGTCAGTTGTCAGCTAGCAGTAGCAAAAATAGTGATTTAATCATCAAAAAGTTAAGTGAACCATTATAACTAGATTGCTTTTGTCAGTAAGCAATAATGCAAAGTCACTATTGTCTTACCTTCAGCAAGAACACACAGAGGATAAATCGGCATCCACAGTGTCTGACTGAACCAGGTCAAGATGGCATAGGATATTCCTATGACTGATAACATGCTGTAAGTGTACCTAAAAGAAAACAAAGGAGCTCAGAAACATCATTTCCTGCTGACGTCTGGGAAAGAACAAGAGAAGAAAATATCTTACACTGTAATTAAATACAGAGATACAACTGGAACGTTTAAATTCCAAACTTTATATCCTATCATTTAAGCAGAAGAGGTAAAAATACATACATACATACATACATAAGGGGAAGGGAACTGTGTCAGTCTGGCTTGTCGCAGGGGGTGGATCATGGATAATTACGGAGGTAAACTAAGAAAAATGGAACTCTTAGCCCTCAGCAAATTACAAGTTTCCCTGATTAGTGGCTTCAATTTCACTCAGAAGCTAAGCCCATTTTATGCAGCATGCCGCTAGATTTTTAAAGACAGATATACTTGTAAATATTTAGGGAATAAATTTAGTTCTGCATCTTTTTGTTTCTCTGACTAGGCAGTGGTTCTCAAGCTTAAGCATACATAAGAATCACCCAGAGGTCTTGCTGAAGCACAAACTGCTAGGCCGTATACCCAGAGTGTCTCATTCCGTGGGTCTCAGGTAGAGCCTGAGAATTTCTATTATAAACAAGTTCCAGGTGATGCTAATGCCACACTGGTCTAGGGACTATACTTTGAGTACTGGAATAGGCTGTACATAATATGGCAAAACAAAATCCAAAACCTTGAAAACAGAGAAAACTAAACCTTTCTCCCATTCTAGGACCCCGATTCCATTCCTCAGAGGCAATGACCAATGCCAGTTTCTTATATATCCTCTCAAATATTCTTGCATTTGCTTATCTGTGTACATAAAAACCATATACCAACAGTGCAAGCCTTCACTAAACATGGCATGTTATCAAACTTGATTTGTACCAATCTCAGTGAAAAACTGGCATCTACTTTTTTATTGCAAGAGTAGATAAACATCTTACATGTTTAAAGCCACTTCTGATGAAGTCCATTGTATCTTTTATTCTCTTGTTGCTTCTGTTTTTGGTGTCTAAGAATCCACTGCCAAATCTAAAATCACCAAGATTTACCCCTATGCGGTCTTCTCAGTTTTATAGTTTTAGCTCTAAATTTAGGTTTTCGATCCATTTTAACTTCTGTATATGGTGTGAGGTAAGGGTCCAACGCAGGTGGACATCTCGTTGTCTCAGCACCATTTGTTGAAAAGACTATTTCCCCCCCACCATTTAATGGTCTTGGTACCCTTGTCAGAAATCGATTGGCTATATGAGAATTTATCCCCAGACTATCAATTCTATGATATATCTTTATGCCAGTATTGCATTCTTGATTATTATTGCTTTGTAGTGAGTTTTGAAATTGAGAAGTGTGAGTCTTCCAACTATGTTCTTCTTCTTCAAGATTGCTTGGGCTAGTCTAAGTTGCTTGAATTTCCATATGAATTTTAAGATCAGCTTCGCAATTTCTGCAAAGCAGCCAGCTGGGGTTCTGAGAAGGATCGTCTTGAATATGCAGATCAATTTGGAGAGTGTTGCAGTCTTAACAATATTAAGTTTTCAACCCATAAACATGGGCTATCTCTTTATTTAGATATTTTTAAATTTCTCCCAACAGTATTTTAAAGTTTTCAATGTGTAAGTTCTGCATATCTTTTGTTAAATTGATTCCAAAGTACTTTATTTTTTGATGCTATTATAAATGAAATTTTTCCTTAATTTTATTTTAGGATAGGTCATTACAAGTTGTATAGAACACAACTGAGTTTTGTATATTGGTTTTGTATTCTACAACCTTTCTTTACCAGTTCACTAGTTCTAGTATTTTTAGTGGATTCCTTATGATTTTATAACCTGCCAATAGAGACTTTACTCCTTCCTTTCTAATATGATTGCCTTTTACATCATTTTCTTGCCTAACTGCCATGACGAGAACTTCCAGTACAATGTTGAATAGAAGTGGCAAGAGTGTACATCCTTGTTTCATTCCTCATCTTAGGAAGAAAGCATCAGTTTTTCAACATGAACAATCATCTGGATGTGGATTTTTTATAGATGCCTTTATCAGGCTGAGGAAATTTCTAGTCCTTGCATTTATTTATTTATTTAAGATTTTATTTATTTGAGGGAGAGAGAGAGAGCACGCACAAGTGGCGGGGGGAGGAGCAGAGGCAGAGGGAGAAGCAGACTCCCCATTGAGCAGGGAGCCCAATGTGGGGCTCGATCCCAGGAC